GACAGCAGTAGCCGTTCGCCATGTTCACATAACAAAGCATGGTACATATACGAGTACCTATAACACATTATTATATTATAAGCACCGATGCGTTTGAGAAAATTTTAATAATAAATTTTATTGGTGGTAAGTACATTTATTATTGTTTCTGAATAATTTACCTTTAGATAACTAATTTAAATAACCTTAGTAGATTATTTAAAAAAAATAGTTGTGGCCAACGATCGAATGTTGTGCCCAACGATCGAATTTTGTGCCAAGTTCAATGATGTTTTTTGTCTTAATTGTGACATACCTACTTTCTCATTTTTGTTAGTTATCTGACTTAGTCATTTAATATCCAAATCAGTGTAAAGGTGATAAATATCCCCGTTTTAAGGGTATGAACAATTCAATTGGTATTAATTTTTATTTTATATTTATCAGGTGCAGAAAAGCCAACTGAGACTGAGGGCGCTATTATTACTATTATTTATTACATAATGTAATTAAGAATTTGTATCTTTTATATTAAAACAATAAATTGAACATTTTATTGAGGAACATTTTTTTTCTAGGTTATAATTATAATAATTATGGAATACTACTACAAATTTTATTAAAAATTACTACAATTTGTATGAATTTTTACTATTTATTGTGTAAAATTTTCGTATTTATTTTCATAAAACGCAATACATTTTTAATATAAATTCATACAATGAATAGCAAAAATTATAACAATTTGTAGAACAATTCTTATGATGCATTTGGATCTTTTTACTAAATATTGTAGATAATAACTCTACAATACATTCTCCACAAATATTTGGAAATTTTTACTACAAATTGTCCCTGTCCCTATATGTACTATTTATTGTAGAGAAAAAATCTACAATAGTAGAAATTTGTTCTACAATTTTTTTTCCGTGTATATATGTATTCAATTTAGAAAAATAATATTATTTATGTACGCCCACATGTATATTATTCAATCTATGCACACAATACAGAACGAATAAGTCTAATCTGAACAAATATACTTTCATATAAATTCTAGTAAGGACATTGTAGAATATATACATCCACATGTATATTATCTATTCTCTTCACAGGCTACAGAACGAGTATTATCAATTTTATGTACACAATACAGAACGAACATACTTTTATATCCATTCTAGTAAGGACACATGTATATTATCTATTCTTTGCATAACCTACAGAACGAATAAGTATGAATGGATATAATTACATATCCATTCTAGTAAGGACACTGTAGATATTATAACGTATTTAATAAGCATTTTGGCAGCAAATTATTTTAAATATATTATATGCAAATCATATTATTCTGTGAAAATTGTCATGGAACATAAATATCTTTTGTTATATATACCAGAATCAACGCAAAAATATATTGATTGTACCCAACAAGCCAAACATAATGCCGCTATAAAGATAACAATCTGCGAATTTGTTAACGAGAATGAGACGATATAAATCTCAGATGTCCTAGTGTATATATTCCGCATTCAGTGTAAGTAAACCTTAAAGCCGTAGGCCGTAAGCCGTAAGTCGTACAGTAATTCGGATTTTAACTTGTTCATTATTCACTCGAAACTGAGAGAGCTGCAAATCAGATAATTTCCGTTGATATAATTTAATTCCTTTGATGATATGAAATATGCTCGATATTATCTAAATGCAATGGTCACAATTTATAGAAGGATAAACAGTGCAGAAATATGAATGTTGCGCAAATTCCTTATATGTTTAATTTTATTTATTGCCAATAATCAAAATCAAAAGAATACCGCTATCTAAGTAAATTATTTTATAAACTTTGTGTTTGTATTGGAGAAGCAAGAGCTACTCTTTCTAATTGTATAATCCTAAATAAAAAGATTTACTAAATATTTGTATATTTTGTATATCTCGTTTAAACCTAGAAGTCATCAATTAAGAACTGCTTGATTAACTTTGAAACCTTAAATAGGTAGGTACTCTTGTTTCACATAAATTAATTTTCTTGGATTTGGGTAACGCAAGTCATGTTATACTATGTTAAGTAACTTACACGGCATTCTATAAGGTTTCCAGCTATTACTGATTTGTGATTAATCTTTTAAGACTTCCACACATATTTTATTCGAAAAACTTTTTCTTACGACCACTACTTAGTCTTATATCACAAGCGTGTGAATAAGAATCTACTGTCCACAGAAGCTGTCAGATATTTCTATCTTAATTTACCTAATGTCTATATTAATAGTAAGTTTGCATGTCACGACCATGTCGTAACGCGGGTTCAATTCTTGATAGAAGCAATTTTTTTTTATTTAAAAAAAATATGAAAATAAAAAAATATACTACTGTTGTTTATTTATTTTAAATGTATTTTATTTATCATAATATAACCTCTACAGTTAAATCTTTTCGCTATTTATTTTGTAATATTTTGAGTACTGTTTGGAGAAAAATTGTGAGTAGATAAGTGCCACTGCTAAAAAGAATGTAAAAGTTTTAACTTTATCAAATTTTTATTATTTAAAAGTGTATTTTTTCCATTATTAGAAACTTCCGATATTCCCACTAGAATTGTTTCTTTGAAAACTCTCGATACAATTTTACAGTATCTCACTTCGACAATTGACTGATTTGTCGGAAGCCGAAACCACCTGAACCTTTGATTTAGTCAATAACAAATTTTGGTTCGCGTCTGGTGTCTGGAATGGAGTGATTAAACGTTGTTGTAAGTACTCAAGATCCCGTTCCCGTTATCCGTTGCAAATAATTATATTTTATTATAATGGCGTAGCCGCCTGTTATCGCAAAGTATGTTTATATTTGATTCATCGTAGTTGGAAGAGACAGGATAGGCTTTAGTAGAAAACATAATTTTAGTACTCGACGTTTTTTACTTTTATTTCCAGTTTATATCTTTTATCGTATTATTTTTTTAATAAATAATGTTTAATTTTATACAGAAAAGACTATCAAGAATGAGTTACAATTTTTTTATTATTTTTATGACTGAACGTACTTCCAATAAAAATATTCTCCATTAAGCATTATTTAAGCTACTGCAGTTTCTTCTCCTGTTTCTTTCTCTATTTCTTATTTTAATCAATGAATTTCCATTGAGTCACAGTGGAAAATAATTATTTAATTCATTTGCTAGTTCACATGGTCAAAGCCGACACTGACTAAAGTGTGCCAAATCTCCCGAGACTTATGCATATCCTGGCGCTCTTCAAAATGCATTTGTGCAAACATATTCGTCATTATTTTTGAGAAACCTGAGACATCAAAGGCAGCCAACAGCCGGCAGTCGAGTATAGTGCAATAAATGAAGGTAATTCTATAAAATCGGCAGAATAACAAGAGTTATGGTTTTCTACAGGGCTGATATGAAACCATATTTATTACATTTATCCTCTGTTTGAAAGAGACGATTATTTTTACTATAAAATATGATATATTACTGAAATGATGGTGATAAAAATGTATCATAATAAAAAATTAGGGGTGCAATTTGGAAGGTGAATATTAATGCTGGTTTCTAGAATCGGGCAGAGGAAATAGCTCCATTTGGGGTGGTAGAAACAGAAGCCCATCAAATGGCCACTTCCTGTCAAATAAAATAGCGCAATAACCTGTAGTAAGAGGCTACTAAAAAAATGGTGGCGATATATTGAAAAGCTAAGAAACAGTACATTCTTAGACCCTTCTGGGCAACATTGTCAACAGGATTTTAAATAATCTGAGAGGTAGCTCCTTTTAGGTAGCCCTGAAAGATGTACAACGGATCTGTTAAGATCACTCCCCCCCTTATAGGTACAAAAAAATTCAACAATTTCCACTTTTATGAGTGCAGACTTTTTGTGACAGACTCCAAGTTGAAAATGAGTGGTCAGATGTTTGTTGCAGATCTATTCTTTTCATAGGGTTACTTAAGAAACAATATCCAATAAGGGTTTTGGGCAGAGGCGATTTTTTTTAAAGACAATATAAAAAAAATATTGTATTTGGCTAAATTAATTTAAGAAACTAAGTAGTTGTGTCTATGTTAGGTATCTACCTATATCATGAAGACTTAATTAAATATTTACCGATATCAGTACCTGGGATGTAAACTGAACTATGTCATACTATTTATAGAGGCATTTTGGAGGTATATGACACTATGTCATAGAAAAATTGTTATGAGAACATAAAAATATGTTACCAAAACTAACAAGTCATGTATATTAAAAAAAAGTGGTATGTGGAGTATTATAGGTTTACTTTGTCCGATGTCGCGAAAAATTACTACGAGCTGCCACTGGTTCTAGGCAATGTTGCCAGAATATCAGATTCTATAAAATGTACTAAATTTTCATTTCAATGAGGATAAAAAAGTGTTTAGGGAACGAAATCAAAACGAAGGAGAATCTCAAAAACATATTTTACATGCATCAAATGGTAATTGTGGGAATAAGCTACTGTATATATATTTTACATTTAGTTAGTTTTAGTTTATGTTATTAAGTCTACGGGAAAAAGCTGATCTGATTGAAATAAAGAGTGTGTTGAAAGATACAAAAGACTTTATCTTTCATTGTGTAACTTACCAGTAACCCGCTAAAAAAAAGTACTAGATTTTACTTCGAATGTCCCTAGTAAATTCTTAGAGAATATACTAGATCTAGTACAATTTTACTAGACTGGCAACACTGGTTTTGACCTTATTTCATATCTATGTTGCCACATGTTGGCTGTGAAAGTACGGCTATGTCTAATACAAAATAAGTACTGTATTTTTAAATTTTATGTTTTAATTCATCAAATTTCTTTTTTATAAAACATAAATTTAGTAAAATATGCAAATTAGCTTTTACGAAATAGGCCCCTGGTCCTATGAACCCAAATTATATAATATATTGTTAAAAGTCATAAGCGGAAAATTATTTTGAATTAAATCATTTAAAAATATAGAAAATTAAATTGAAAAAAGCAGTAAAATTAAAGCATAACAACGTAGGTGCATGTTCTATAATAGAGTGATGTGTTCTCTTTAAAATATTTCTGTTAAACGATTTTATGCCTTTTACTGAGAAAAAAACAATTCATCAGTATGTCAAACAACCTATCAAACTTGTGCCTGTGAAGATATTGGTGTAAGTATCCAAATTTTGGATGTCTCTAACATTAGAATGTTTTAATATTTTAGTTTCTCTTGTTGGTAACAATTTTATTTGCATTTTTTAATTAAATTTTAAAATTTTAGGTCTGAGTTTCGTAATAAAGACAAGAAAGATCAAACAAATGTTGAAGAAGACGTTGACGATAGCATGGATATTTATTGTTTGTTTTTTCGATTGTTGCTGGTTATTTGAACGGCGCAGTGGCGTGCTATTTTCAAAAGAAGGTAACGTAAAAATACATTTAATTTGTTTAAAAATTAAGCGTTGAAAAAAAAAAAATAAAAAGAAATTAAAAAAAAAAATTAAAAAACAGCCAAGTAAAAATAAAAAATGAAAGAAAAAATGGAAAAAAGACAATAAAAATGGTTAAATTAAAAACGATAGTTTAAAATCCAAAATTTTGTTTTCGCATTTATATCTGATGTGTCCCAACACAAAAAATTATACCTCGATCAAAACAAAAACATATAATTTTGTCATTTTAGAGCCATCAAGTATATAACGACATTGCAAACAACTTTTATCTAAAAAATTTTCTTGTGAAAGAAATATACAAAAAAAAAACAACTCTCTATATAGTACCTACGTATTTATTTAGTTAAATATCAACGTCTTGCATAAATGATGACGCAAACATCGATCTTATGAATGGCCTTTTCTCTAGTTTGAAAATTCCTGCTCTAGAGGGTGAACCATAAATAGTACTCTTGCGAGGTTTTTCTCATATATATCGCTCTAGATGAAAACTGGGTCAGAATTCTTCATTTCAGACCATACGACATGGTTTTCAAATAATCGATTTATTCAAAATGAAACACCTCTAAAAAAATGTAAGCCAGATAGCCCGGGAACAAATAAAAGAGTATCATCAGGACATCGAATTGGATCAACAACAATTTTTAGCTTTATTCTAATTTTAGATAAAATTGCTCTATTTCTTAGCCTAATTGTGTTTTGAATAAAGAATTTTGAATTTGGTGTTTGATTTATTGTAAAATTTTTACCTGTAGTCGTATTACAAATAAAAATTGAAGACACAAGTGGATGAAGGGTCTGTAACATTTTTTTTAAAATGGTATTTTTCTGTGAATGAAGGACTTATGTACCTAAAATTCGATTAAAATGTCTTCCATGACAATATATCATCAAATATAGAAGTAGATGAAGGACCCATGTACATAGGCCCTTGATCCACTTGTCTCTTCAATTGTTTAAAGATTTTCTCTTAACTTCTTAACATTTAATTTATTTAATATTTTTTTTAGATTGCTATAGAGATATTCAAAGACCGAACCACGCTTGCTGGGATTACACGGAACGCTTCAAATGGGATACAGAACTTCAAGATTGCGTATTAGCCGTTTATGGAGGCTGCCATCCAACTAAAAACAATTTCCACACCCGCGAAAATTGCACAGAAATAGCGAAACCAGTTTGTCAAAAGTTAATTTAATTTAGAGAAAACGAAATCCAAAAACAAATATGAGACTTCCAGAAGAAAACATTGAGCTAATAATTTAATTTCGAGTTTAAATTTTATTTGTCTTCGATCCAAAATTAATATAGACCAAAATTAAGTTAATTTATGTTATTTAACAATGTGAATATAATAAAAATATACTGATTGTGAATTAATTTTATTTTTTATGGTAAAAATTTGATTGTTTTAAATGTGCAGTGATATAGAAACTATTACTGAGGTTTATTAATCGTTTTAATAAATGGAACCCCTGGTTTGCTCCTATACTGCAACATTCTCTAAATGAATTATTAGCAACAAAAATGACAATTATTTCAAAAAGAGATTGCAAATTAGTTTGAGACTAAATTATTATGATTTCATAAACAATAATAAAATCATTTTTAAAATTAAGTACCCTGTATAGATAGCTTGGCCAATCGTTATTTAGTATAATTTAATAAATCCCAAGAACGAATAATTGTTTCCTATGAAATTTCTAAATGCGATATTCTTGGTAAACAATTCGCTAATGCGTGTTTGGTCTGGAAGACTGATACTTAATTTTAATTTACCTGTTTGCGAAAGCTCTATCTTCTAATGTTAAAGAAACTTAATTTGTATGTCTGGTGTAATATAAATAAAGAACTATTTTTTAAATTTGCAGGATTAATCTGTTACATCTTATAATGAATTTAGAATAGCTCGTAAATATAATATTTTGAACTTACTAGTCACTGTTTGCATACTTACCTGAAAAAGAAAAATATATTATTAGTAAATTTTGAATTTATAAAAATGTATAGATGTAAAGAAAGAAAGAAAGAAAGAAAGAAGAAGAAAGAAAGAAAGAAAGAGAGAAAGAAAGAAAGAAAGAAAGAAAGAAAGAAAGAAAGAAAGAAAGAAAGAAAGAAAGAAAGAAAGAAAGAAAAAAAGAAAGAAAGAAAGATTTCTTGTTTAAAAGAAATTTAAATTGTTAGTAAATATAGAAAATTATTCAGTAAGAATGCGCTATTATAACGCATATATGTCATATAAAAGTTTGAAGTATTTTAAAAGAAGTCTCAACTATCAAGTATCTGTCGAGCACTTTTACAAATATTATAAAAATCGTTTCAGAGATAGTTAACACAACAAAAAAATTGATATACACTGCAAAACTATGGAATAAAATAAAAATATATTAAAGATAAAAGCAGATTCCTCTAATACTTTTAATATTGAGAAATATATGCTTTATTGGCCCGAATTAGCACATCAAATAGCCTAGGAATCTCAAAAGTCTATATCATGATGGTCTAGAGCAGTGATACTCAAAGTGTGCTTCGCGGAGTCCTGGGGTTCCGCAAAACCTTTGAGGGATTTTGTCTGGAAGTCACTAAAATGAAGGAGGATATGATTTGGCTTGAGTACCTTTCTTTAGAAGTCACCAAGAGAAATGAGGATATTGTTTAACTTGAGAACTTTTTTTTTAAGAAATGTCAAAATATTTCGCTCTTCAAAAAGGTCCCGTCGCCAAAAAAGTTTGAAAAACACTGGTTTAGAGATAGGGTATTTGTGTACAGAACAAATATGTCTGGGTTTAAATCCCAGCGATGACAGGGAACATTTTAAATAGCTTAATATCTATAACAACTATCTCTTTGTTGTTATTATTATTATTCCATGTACTATTATCGTTAACAGAATTAGGAAACCCCAGTCTCCTTTTATAACACAAATAATAATTAAACAAATGGCCTGTAGCAGCATAAAATCCTGGAAACCGTGCCAACAAATGCCCATTTTGGTATTCATTTCGTTTTGAACATAGACAGACAGTCAGAAGTCGCAGGATAAAGAGAAAAGGACCCCTCAAAATGTGTACGGTGTTTAACGTGTTTGGAAACCCTACTCATATCCACCCCTAATTCTATATTTCTAATTTCTGACGTTTATTGCCGCATTATTTAACTGACAAGCTTTAGTCAACAGAATTCTGGCTCGTTATGATTCATCGAAAAGTTCACGGGGGTGGGGTTTTTGATATCTGTATTCGTATTGATTTAATTAGTAGTTGCGAGCCTTAATCAAAACTAATGTTCCGTTATTAATCAGAAGGAACATTTCTCTGTTTTAATTAGAATGGCAATTGATCTCTGTAGGAGTGAACACAATTTCCAGGTATAATATTTTATATTTATTAAAAACTTCCCATTTTTTGTTTCTGGTCAATATTGATTTGTTTAGGTACCTAGATAAAATTTCGTCCTAGCAGAATAGCATCAGGATCTTGTGTTGCAACACAGTCAGAAGAAATCTTGGTTTGTTGGTTGGATCATTTTCTCAAAAGTGCTATACGCCTGGAAAACTGTGACATGCTTTGCCAAAATAAAATAGAGAATAAGTAACAGACGATTGGCCCCAGTATTCCATGGACTAATTTGTAAATCAGTCCTTCGAAAATGAGGCTATCTGGTGTCTCTATCCAGACGTTTCTATTCGGAATTTCTACTTTACAATTCCTGTCAAAAATATATACAAATAAATATCTGTGATTAATCCTATAAGATGCTTTATACCACGTTACCTTTGATGGTATAACTAATCAAAGACACAAAAGTGGAAGGGTTGAACGTTAAAGGAATAAAATAAAAACGATGCCAGAGTAGATGAGTAACAGGGCTTCTGGGACTTTACTTCTAAAAGTCGTCGCTAGATGGCGTCACCTATTTGTGTTGGAAGTTAAACGATCCAAGATGGCGACCATCGTTTACTTAAACGAGTATAGATTAACGATAAAGTGGCAATGTCAAAACGGTTTAAATTTATATCTCCGCTGCTATTGGTTCAATTTAAACGGGAAAAACGGGTAGTGGGAGGAAATTATATGTAGATTAACTCTAAAGAGAAAAATTATGCGCAGTAGCAATGTCAAAAGGACCTAAGTGTATATTTCCGCTGTTAATGATTCAATTCAAAGGAAAAAAAAACGGTATTTTGTAGGAGATGCAATATAGGTTAACGTTGAAGAGAAAAATCAAGCGCAGTAGCAATATCAAGTCTATAACTTTGCTGTTATTGGTCTGATTTAAATGGGAAAAGCAGTACTGTGTAAAAGACGTAACAGAGATTGACATTAAAGAGAATCACATACAATGGCAATACCAACAGACCCTAAGTTTATATCTCAGCTAATATTGATTCTATTCAAACAGGAAAAACGGGGAAGTAGGGAAAATTATAAATGAAGAGAAAAATCATGTGCGGTAGCAATTTCAAAAGTCTATATCTTAGATATTATTGGCCCAATTTGTATGGAACAAACGGCACTAAGTAGTAAACGTGGCATTGATTATCGTTAAAGAAAGAAATCACGCGCAGTAGCGGAAATTATTAATATCAATCTAATGGGCAATTGAGATTAAATTGACGAAGAATATGAGAATATCTTTAAGTGATAAATTTATATTGTATATTTTATTTTTTACTACAATTATATAGACTATTTTTTGATGATCCACTTTTTTGATTTTTAGTAGTTCTTATTTAGTAACTAGTTTTTATATATTTTTCTGGTATTTATATATTTTATTTATAATATTCTTCAAAATTATTTATATTTTACATATTACTCCAATAGTTGATTTTTTTGTCTTTAACTCACATTATCTTATTGTTATCTAGTATTTAATTTTTGATTGCTTTTTAATGTTTTGTTTCGTTTTACTTCTAGTATTTCAAATCTTGTTTTGCACAAAGATTACGCTATTACATAGACATTTTGATATATGAGGAAACTGCATATTCTCAACCATACTTTGCCTTACAGCAAATTAGTACAAATCATAAACTAAAACTAATTGCAAAAGTTAACGTCCCTGCGAAATCTCTCACATACAAAATTTAAGTCTACATAATGGGAGCCAAAGGTCTAGTTACAGCTTTTACTACACGGAAAAGTCATTGTAGGAACTTTTATTACACAAATAATTACACAAATGGTCGAGAGCTCTATAAAATTCAACAATGCCACCGAGTACGCGAAATCTCATTTAGAAGCCAACCGTTCATTTCGTTTTGAATAAGTCATAAAAAGACCAAAAAAAATATCGTTGTTAGAATCGCTGGGTTTTCATTCTCTTTATTTAATCTCTTTTTGAGTTAGTATAGTGTTAATTTTTTTTATATTATCCTTACGAAGTTCTTCATCAAAAACTATAAATCTTGCACTGAAGACGTCCGAGTGGAAATAAATCCATAAAAAAAAGATATCAGAAACACTTTGATTTTCCGAAAGTGTGCCTGAAAACAAATCTAATAAGAAATAAAAGATCTAACGCTAAAAATGGTAGAAAACTTACAACCATCAAACAGAACTGTCAAGAAGCATTTTCCAAGATCTCCTCGCAAAGTTCATACTAGCAACTTTTAAACAAAAGAAAGTGCTGTCTGTTTCGTCAATGTCGGACGCAACTTCCGTTTCTGAGCGGAAAGGGAAAGATTGTTTCCTGTACCGAGACGTGGCACGTTTTGGAGCTTTCAACTTTTGTTTCGAATTCGGAAAAATTGGGATTGATAGAACCACCGGCGGATCTAATGGAGTTGCGATTCCGGTAGACGTTTATTAGAGATTAAAAGATTCTGTAGACTAATTTTTTATTTATGTTAGGTATATTTCCGTAGAAGTAATAAAAGTATTACAATTTAAAGGTAGAAAAATTAATAAAATACAAGATAATCAAAAAAATGTTCAAAGGGGGGACCACTGGACACATTTCAATGCCTTTTTAAATTTTAAGATATCGCAATATTTATATATACCGTTTTATAAGTTTCTTAAAGAAATATTCAACGCCGTAAACCATATTTTCCTACTTCAAACAGATTTAAGAAAAAATCAGATATTTTTTTTTAAATATTCAAAAAGGTACCATTGACATTTGTTCGATCTTCTTGAAAATTCGAACTTATTTCCTTAACTTATTATAAATACAAATTTTATGAAAAAACAAAAGACCATAAAACTGAAGAGGGAGCTAGACAGGTG